TCGGTCTCTTGCAGGGCGCTGGCCGAGGGCCGCTGTTTATCAACGTCTGCAGCTGGAAAAGGGTCCCGGCGCCCAGGGCCCCCGCTGACCCCACACCTGTGGTTGCGGGGCCGCTGGAAGAAGTGTCTGGAGAAGGAGGTACGTTCCGAAAGAGCTGCGGCTCCCCCCCGCCGGCATTCTTTTTTTTTTGGGCAGTGCGGGGCAAGCACAGGCAGATTCTGGCTGTGACACAGGGTAGCGCTGTGCCCTCGCCAGCTCTTGGCTCGGGGCGGCAAGGCAAGGATGCGACAGGTGGATCCGAACAGGGAGTCTGAGTCTCTCCTTTTTAAAAAACCTGAAGAAACACAAAAAGTGGACGCATCTAAATCCTGAAAAATACTTACGTACCAGGAATCTCAGGAGCACATACAGTCATGTTGACTTGGATCGTGTTCCCACGCTTCTCCAGTACATGGAGAGGTGTCATCTCTACGTGAGGTTGATAGAATTAGCTCTCTCTGCCCAGAAGCCACAAATTCATTTCCCTTGCTTTTAAATTAAGCGCTTATAAAGAACACTGGCACATGGTACCAGAGTAATAATTCTGACACATAACTTATTTTTATAGACCTTTACAGCATTATAGATATTGCATATAATCCTAATGTTCTTCAGAGGGGAGAAGAAAACCCAGAAAAAATGGAGCACTTGATCCATTTGACACTTAAATTCGTTGAGGAACAATGCAACATTACTCTTTCTTGTGTGTACACCATTGAATCGTTGAAATTGAAAGGAAGCCTGGAAACGATGCAGAAACGACTGAAAGGAAGGCAGATGCCAACTCCACATCTCAGTCAAGACACAAAGAAGGGTATGTAGAGATCTGTCACTCTTCTTTGAGGATTTCTCAGATTCTCCAGCAAATTTACTCAAGCCTCATCTTTCTAACCCCAATTCTTGCCATAAGCATAAGCCAAGTGCTTCTCTCTAAGAATTCAAAATAAGGCAGTATTCATACCAGACATTAGTATAACCCTGCTGTTAATCTCTCATTCATCTCTGGTGTTTTACAATTGAGAAACTGCAGTGACACTGGAACAGCAAATTCCCTTTTTCCTATATCCAGGTGCTAAGTTTCTTTTGCTCTAACCTGAGTAAAAGAGCTTGCTGCTGTAATTACTACTCTGAAAAAAACTTTTAACCCATTGGCAATAAAACCAAATCCTGGGTGAAAGAGATACTGCCAGTAACAGTCTTCAACTGTCAAAATGACTAATTACATACAATTAATTACAGTTAAAACTTTTGTGATACATTTGTCAAGAACATTACAGATCTTAGTAACTCAGTGATATGCATGAAAAAACTTATTTTTCTTGAAAGAACTGACCCTCGATCAGCTGCTACACACTATGGAAGCTGAGGACTGCAGCAATGCTCCAGTGCTGCTGAAGGAAGAAAGCGTCACACAGTCTAAAGTGCATCTGATAGAGGAAATTGCCAGTACTGAAATGCCAGAGAAGCTCAGTACCCCTGTCTATGAAATGAGCACCGTGAAGGATGCAAACGAGAAACCTCTCAAAATTGAACTCAAAATCGAATTGCCTAAGGTTAGCTCTGTTTCTGAGTGTGATCTGAGAATCTCAAAGGTAAGACAGCAGAAGGAATAACCTTGTGTTTTCTGTTCAGTATTCAGTTCCTAGAAATGCTCACTGATAATTTGTTGTCAAACAGTTAATCAAGTATTTTACTTTTCTTGTTTTAGGATGACATCCTCATTGAAGTCCCTGAAAAATACAAATTACAACTAGATCTGCCAGAATTGGTGGATGAAGAAACAACTACAGCAGTATTTAACAAAGGAAAACAGATATTGTTTATTACAGTGGCAGTTGCCAAGCCAGTTCCTTAAAGACTGCATTCTGTCCCATTCATATTCACAGACGACAGAACAAAACAAAAGCCCAGAATGAGAATCCTAACTTTTAGATGGTGATGAGTTTGGTTTGTTTTTTTTTTCCTGTTGACTTTCTAATCCTCAGGGGTGAATGCCTCAAATGCCTTTAGAAGATGCAAGCAGAAAAGAAAGTGTGGAGGAATACTAGCATGACCAAACTTAGGAAAAAATAAGTAAAGATTGTACATATTCAAGGAATACTTGAATACGTTTATAGCCGTAGTACAGAACCATAAATGCATACATGCTTTACTACATCATTCATTTTACCTTAAGGTACAGCACTAACAGTTGTAAAGTCTTTGGCTAAATAAACTGATTACTTGATTCACATGGTTAGAGCAACTCTCACATGTATTTAACGCTGGAACAACCAGCAGAGGAGTGTCGTACACAGTTCTACAAGTTGCCCTGCGTGCTGTTGCTGTTCTCTTTAGGACAATCCCTGCTAATCTCAACTGGAATAGGCTTTGTAGTCTTTTCAGTCACTGAATATGCTTGACCTCACTTCTTAGCGGTTTGGTAGTCTCTGAATGAGACCATAAAACAACAAACCTATTCTGTACTATTCAAAACAGCATAAACATAGAGATTCAAAGCCCAGGAATGCTTAGTGTGAAGCTAGCAACCAAAATCAATCTTGGAGCACTTCAACTAGGAAAACTATCTGCATTAGTTTACACTAATACACACAATACAAAGTAACACAAAGCAACACAAACAGCTTCAAGGACTACTAAGCATTACTAGAATTAATTGGGAGACAAAAGTTTAAGTGATCTTAGTTTCGTGATTGATTTGGTAGTATGTCATTCTTACAACTTCTGTGACACGTTTGCACTACGACCATGCTTCTGTACCGATACTCATCAGATCAGAAATGGAAACAGACAAATGGGTTTTGAGCTGCAACGCTTCTGTACCGATACTCATCAGATCAGAAACGGAAACAGACATGGGTTTTGAGCTGCAACATTAAAATACAGGCTTACAAAAGAGCAGTAGCTCCTAGCTTTCGCTCTTCTTTGTTTCAAAGCAACTTAGAAGGCTGCACTGAAATACTGTTCAGTGGTTATAGTTGCACGTTCCAGCTAAAATTCTATCACTACATGAGCTGAGCTGGCCTGCCGCAAGATGCAAGCAGTACCAGAAGTCGTCATCAGCACTTCAAGCACATGCACTGGGTAGGATGTTTTGAGTCGCAAGTGTTTGAGAGTCCGATAGTCATTCGGAAAGCATTTCCACAGGATAACTATTTAGTGTTCCTACTGCAGGCACTGGGTAGGATGTTTTGAGTCGCAAGTGTTTGAGAGACCGATAGTCATTCAGAAAGCATTTCCACAGGATAAACTATTTAGTGTTCCTACTGCAATAAGTGAAAGGACTCTGTAGCCAGAATTTGAGGTTCTGGTGAACATTGAGCAAGGAAGCCAGGAAGATTAAAGTTCACTGCTACATGATAGTAATTAAAGTATGTATGTTGGGGATGTTTTGAGTCGCAAGTGTTTGAGAGACCGATAGTCATTCAGAAAGCATTTCCACAGGATAAACTATTTAGTGTTCCTACTGCAATAAGTGAAAGGACTCTGTAGCCAGAATTTGAGGTTCTGGTGAACATTGAGCAAGGAAGCCAGGAAGATTAAAGTTCACTGCTACATGATAGTAATTAAAGTATGTATGTTGGAACAATTTGAGGTTAATAAGGTGAGTTTCACTATCGGACTGAAAGACTCAACAGCTCTGATTGTGCTATAGCAGCAGAGTAAGCCACACACGACTGAATAGAAAAGCACTGAACATGTTTTAGTAGTTGTCAATTCCAAACAATTTAATAGAACATAGGTTCCCTAGAGCAAGTCTGGAACCAAGATATTTTAGATCACTGAAGAAAAACCAGAACCTTAATGCACTTTTTTTTGCTTAAGCCAAGCATGAAAACCAAGTATCACAGCAACCAGACATTAAATAGTTCCCACAAAAATATTTAATTTCCACAGTATTTTCTTTCAATATCTTTAGTGAATTTTGTTGAACTTTACAGGAGACAGTACTTAATGCAATATACAGAATAACATATCAGCTTTAACTTTTGGTTTTTTTTTAAACTTCTCCCCCCCTGTTTAATTCTCCTGGTCACTTTGTAATTACTACACCATCGTCCTTTTTACATTAACATTTCCATGTGGAAAGTGGAATTTAAGAATGTTCAGCACCGCACCCCTTTCAGGATACAATGACTGGGGTAACTGGACACAAGTCCAACAAACTACTGAAGCATTTTACATACAATATATACATGGATAGCACATTCTGCAGCTTACTGAGGCTGGGACAACATAGACAATTCAGGGAAGAACTGCAGTACCAGTGACTACTTCAGAACTTCCTATGTCAGAATGCCTGAATAAAAAAAATCCAAACATTCAAGTCATCACATGATAAATATCCACTGATGGGATTATTAGCGTGTGTGATTTGCCTATATTGGGTTCCAACACACAGATTCTCTTGAATATTCTGCAGAACAGTTACTTCCACGGCATCATAGTGTGATATTAACTGAGCAAGAGGAATAGCAATTAAAAGTTTTCATTCAAAAAGCACATGTAAGTGAAAGCCCACGAGAAGACTGCACATTCCCTGCGGTATCCGAGAGCTGTGACCCCACAGACGTCAGTGCTCTTTCACCTTACTTTAAAGTGCTCAAAAGGGATCACATAGCTGAGAAGGTCCAGATCAGTGCCAAATTCCAAGAGAGATTTGGAATGCTAGCACTTGGCCTTTGAGAAACTATTCCCAGGCGCCTCAGTCCCTTAGTGCATCTGTCATACTCGCCCACCCCAGCAGGAGAACAGGATAATAAGGGAATTCACCTTCTACTAACTTCCACGTTTCAGTTACCATCTCATCTGAACTCCTGTGAAGAGATGTTTATAATTCAAATTTCTGAGAACAGTGAGGTAATGAAATTGCTTGGTTAGGCACCCCCTTGTTCATCCTAGTTGAGAAGCAGATGGCAGTATGCATACTGCCTGGATCATTTTTATATCTGGGATGCTTAACTGTTTCGGAAGAGTTTGCAAGTTAACTAACTGTATAAAAACACAGTATAGCTGTAATATTGCTCCGAAAAGCGCTTTTGCAAACTTTTTCTGTACAGACTGGTAATAACATTACCAGATAATATAATACATATTAAAATAAAAAAAGGAACTCTTTTAACAAGTCTGAACACTAAAGTCTAAACGGCTTGTTTAAAACAAAACAGTGTGACCCAGGAAAATTCTGTTTGCATGGTTAAATTATAGCAGCATAGTTACTGGCTTTTCAAGGAAATTCTTGAATTCAGCAAGCCACTGTGCTCCAACTGCTCCATCTACAACACGATGGTCACAGCTAAGTGTAACGGACATCACACTGGCCACATCAAATCTGAAAAAAAAAAAAAAAGGGCAAAAAAAGGGTTAATGCAATCCTCTGCAAGTCAGTGGTGCCACTAACAAAACAAAAAAGCTTTTATCAGGGAACCAGCAATAGCAGTTGGTGCTTGATAACAGATGTTTCTCCCTGCAGACTGCTAAAAAAGATTACATTGGACAGCAGATCATATTCATTCCTTTTCTACAATTAAGAAACACATTTGTGTGTTCCCTTTAGGAGAGGAAGCTCATCCTTCTTTGCATCACAAGAACAGCCCCACGTGATCAAAGAAAAAGAGCCATTTTACCCAGTAACCTCCAGCTTCCCCATGTGTCAGTGATAGACACCTAGGACTGTTAACAAGTTTAAATAATCCTGAACAGTCTCCTGCTAGTTCAAGCTCCAAGCAAGGCGATACTACATACAGGACACTTGAATTATAATCCATCCCTTAGGTTTTCCTTAAATGCAAATTTAAGCAAGTTGTTAAAGAGGAACAGGCACCTGAACTGTTGTGGATCCCAGACTCTCTTCTACAGCTTAACCCTACCCCTCAAAGAAAGAAACAGCCTTTCCTTAGCTTGCAAAGAAGTTGCAAGAATACATGTATGGCAGATCATTCTTCAGTCACAGCATTCCTCTGTAACGCCTGTGTAACCCCTTCATACAAGATCTCACTGTACTTCTTCAGAGGGCACTGAAAGCAGTATGTCAACAACTTTACTTTTTTAAAATTTATAATCTAATGGAAGTATTAGAAAACCAGCCATTATTTCAAAGTTTGAATTCAGAAGCTCAGTATATGCAGAATCAGATGAAGACTTACCCTTTCTCATTATCAGCTGGCACTAGCCTTTTCTCTGAGGAACCAACTGCAAGGATGCAGGCTTGAGGTGGATTAATTATGGCAGAGAAATTCTTAATCCCATACATTCCTAAATTGGAAATTGTGAAAGTACCACCCTACAAGAAAAACACATTGATAGCCAAATTCACACAAGCTGTTCCATGTGGAATATCAATGAACATGTCTGAAAGATCACAAAATAGGCTTTGCTCCATCTGAACAGGGCTTCTGAACAGAAGTCAAGGGCAACAACATTTAACAGCAATCAGAGTTTCTCACCTGGAATTCGTGAGGCTGAAGTTTACCTTCTCGGGCTTTAGCTGCCAAAGAAACCACATCCTTACTAATGGAAGCCAGGCCCTTTATATGTGCATTGAACACAATAGGGGTTATAAGCCCTGCAGGAGTACTAACTGCAACGCTAATGTCCACGACGTGATTTCTGCAAGACACAAGGGAGACTCCAGTTACTCTAGCAAGATAACAAAGGAAAAAATTTTCAGAACTGTTCAGACAACTCTAAATTAAATTAAATTTTACAACAATTATTTCACCTTGCACATTAACCTTAGACACAGGATTCTTAGCACTTTAATGAAAGCCCCTCGACCTTTGCATTACACTTGTTCCCCTCCCTCCTCAAAACCCCAGGAGAAGGTCTGCTATTTTGCCATGAACTCTCTACTGA